GATGCCAGCACAATAGGTTTTGTTCCCGCGACGTCGATATAATTTCCAGTTGTACTGTGATGATAAAACAGAAATTTTCTCCAACGCCATCAGGTTTCTTTGCATTGTTAAGATTATATAATTCAGCTTCTGCGAGAAGCTGTTCTAATTGTCAGATATAATAAATTTAGGATACTCGTTCAGTAACCACAAGCTTTCATATCTCTGTTTCATCATCTGAGCGGAAGCGTTCGAATTGTTTGCTTGCTTTCCATTGAGTATTAAAACCGTCATTGTTGAAGTGCATTGGTTTTCCGACTAGGGCTGAAGCCACTTTTGTTGGTTCTTTCCGTTCACTTTGAATTTTCACTGGCAAATGGTTTTGAGTAGTGTGCACGTTTTCCAGGCGTCTTGGACAGAGCTACTGTTTGTCTTTTACCCCGGCTGAGTGGGGTCCCTGGTGATGGTCCTGTGAAGGTTTTCCCGTGCGTAGGTTTCCTCTGTTAAGTGGAGCTCAGACAACTCTTCGGGTGTTTCTTCTTCGCGCCGAGGAGCATGTGTAAATATTAGTTTAATTATTTTCAAAAGGCTTTCTTTGCCCTTTTTGTTCTTCTCGCCGTTTACAGATACATGTGTCTTTTGTCTTTAATATAAACAGAAAAAAAGCATTTGCTGTTTTGAAGCATTGAGCCGACAGTTTTAAAATTTACTGCCAGATATTATCGTGATTCTAATAATACTCTACGTTATTCCGTTCTCGCATCAAAGCCGTTTATGTACTTATGCAGTAAATAATTGCATAAAATGGCGAACTAGTTTTTTGGAAAGTCCAGTTTGTCGTAGTTTACGTTTAGAAAATTATTGACTCCGTTCGGCTTAAAGTGCATTTATGACCTAACGATGCCTTAACTTTAAGCAGACGACAATTAATCAAATCTGATCTTTCGGTTCAGATGACATTACAAGCGTACTTGAGCGGTTACATTTAAGTTGTTGACCTTGACTTTATTTGCTCTGAGCTGCAGCAGCTAGTTGCAGTGATTCTTTTGATGTTGTCCGGATGATGTAATTGTGTCTTTTTATCTTGGCGTCTTCTGTATTTATGTTTACTGCAGTTTCTTTTTTAGTGTTCGCAAATCATTTATTGCATCAATCATTTAGGGTAATAATTAGTCACTGTGCTTGAAACGACAGAGCGCCACTGGCGATCTCAGCAAAACTCTCGGTATGTATTCGCCTCGGTTTATTATTTTGTTCCTTTGTCTTTGAAAAGATCTTGAATTGTTTTTGTTTGTAGAAAATTCGTCGCCAATATTTTGAAATGGTTTTAAATAACCTGGCATTGTTTTTTGCACTTGAATCCAGCTTGACCCTAAACGTTAGGAATCCGTTGAATAAAATTTATATGTGGCTTAAACCCTTTGAAAATTTTGTACATTATTTGCAGTATAATAATACTTAGTCTTGAATGTTTTTTTGATAAGGTTTAGGTTTTTTACTTCACAGTATATTCATGTATTCATGTTTTTTGTTAGGTTTAGAAGGATAAATCATTGAAAAAGAATAAATAAGCATAATAAAATAATACTGAATAAAAAATAGAACATGAAATTGGAACTACAGAAAAACACGTACTACAGTGAAGCTGTGATTTAGTGTTCCAGCATTTAGGGCAAAGCCGTATTTGGTGGATATTTTTTAGGTTCTGAGCGGTCATTTTGCAATTCTTGAATTAACTCTAATGCAGTTACCAGAACCTTATGTCTACTGATTAGGATGCACTTTGAGTGCAAGGAGAAAAGGAGAGTTTGTTTCGCTCTTGCACTTTTTTCCAGTTGTGAAGCCCCTTTTTTGAAGTTCATGGCGTGGCGCTGATGTCTGTTTCCATTTCATCAGTGAGGAGTGCCTTATTTTATGATCAGAGTCTACAACCATGTGACAAGCATAATGTGTGATCTGTTTTCTTGCAACAAAGTGATTCTCATTTGTAGAGTAATACGTTAGCAGCTTAAGGAGGTACGGCGATTGATTTGGTCGGTTAGAGTTCAATACTTTGCTGACTGAGCAACTGAGGTTAGTTGCTGAAATGAACCTCCTCCCTGGATCCGAGAACCAGTTGGAAACATCATGTAGAAATGATCGTCCAAAGCAGGAAATAGATGTCCTATTAATTAGTGATTATAAGTCTCGTTTTAGTTGCAGTAGTGACAAAAGCATGACTACATAGCGAAATAAAGATATATCTTTGGTGAAAATTACTGAAGGCAGGTAAAAGAAAAAAAATGTTGGAAAAGACCAGGTTTTGATTTAACATTATAACTGGATGTTTACGATTTTTATTTGCAGTTTGTGATAAAGATATGCTGGCTGATAAAGTAATATTTGCCATCAGATCGAGGACCTTGAAGTCGAGATACTGTGTCTGTATGATTATAAGTAATCGAGCTGATCAGCCGTGAAAAGTTGTAATTTATGTTTGCTTTTCTCAGCGAAAGAATTTTCGAAGACGAAGGTTTCTTTTGAATTGTAAGGCTAAGCATCCCGTGCTTCTTTGTCAGCTATTTGAAAACGTGGAGTTTTTTTACGAACTGCCGTCTTTCAGGTTCCTTACTGTGGGTTTTTGTTTGCATCAGTTTTCCATATTGCTGTTTCGCTGGTTTTCATTATGACTGTAGAGCTGCAGAAAACGGCCGTGAATTTTCTTTTTTCTTGGCACCGATTCTGTTTCGCCTCTACTTGATTGCTATGAATGTCATAGTATCTGCTGCATTGAACTAAAGCCGCCATGCGCGTGGAATTCGATTAACGCAGCTACTCGCTGTTTATGACATCTTAGTTAATCGGCTGCTTAGTAGTTTGTAGCAGAGTTCCGTGGTTCTTCCAACTCTTGGAAAATTCAAGCCGTAATGCAGTTCAGTTGTTTAATTATACTTTGAACAGTAACCAGTGCTTTGCAGTTTGCACCGAGGGGAGTGGGAAGTCGTCTCGTAGTAACAGTGTGTAATTGCTACTGTTTTCCTTTAATGGAATTTACTTGATGGAAAGGTTTCATTTGGGAGCGAACATTTCAAGCAACATTGACGTTATTTATTATTATAAATATTATTTATTGTTTATTTCGTATTTATTAGCATGAACACTTAACTGTTTAGCGTAACGGTGTCTATCACCACCGCTAGCTAACATTTACTACAGCATTAAGCATCTTACTACGTGTCCTAATGAAACATTATCAACATATGCAATTTCAGCTTACATTCCGCGAACAGGAAAGGAACAGAGTGTGAATCTTCGAATATATGTTTGTGGTTACTGGAACTGTATGATCATGCTGCTCATTTGAATGGTGTAGAGTTCCTTGTGGAGGAGTTTTACCAGTTATAACTGGTTGAACGTGCTAAAACAAGTACTTTCTCAGGTTTGCTCACTCTTGAGGTCAGCGTAGGCCAGTAATGCTTCTTCCCCCAGTTATTGTAACCCAGATAAGCAAGGCAAACGTGTTGTAGGTTACGATCTCAAAACAGATTCAAGTTTTTGCTACGATTCTGCTATCTGTAGTCAGATTTCGTGCCGGTTGTACATTAAGAGCATAAATCTAAAATGTTGTGGATAAATTCCTCTTAATGACAGCGGTCGTAAGCTGCAAACAACACGTTCAGCTGAAACAGTCAGAAAGAAATTATAAAGAGACAGAATATGACGCTCGAAACGGCATACTGTTGCTTGTGCATTATTTTGGTGACCTCTGAGGAAATTTTTGGAAAAAATTTTAAACAAATTGAAGATTTAAAGCATTGAAAAGGACTAGGTCCACAGATCTGGTTCAGCTTCGTATGTAGAGTTTCGTTATTAAAACGCAAAGCAGTTCAATTTTGATTTAATTTTATTCATTGCTTGTTTTAGCTGACATGTTTTTATGAACAACCTTCATATATTAATGTCTCTTTTTTAATGAACCCTGTTACGCCACCGGAAAATTGGCTGTTTTTGTTTTTGGTGATTTATCTATTGAGAATTTAATGTTTCTCGTATCTTTGCAGTGATGCCTGGTGATTTTAGTCCTGTTAAATGCTGATAAAACAAGTTTAAAATTGATGATTTTTATGAGCACGCATTAATATAATATGTGAATTTAATTGTTGTCACAGAAATTGTTAGTTTGAACCAAGATAAATCTGCGATTATGGGATGATATACGTACAGCACAGCTTTATTAGCAGTTTCATATTTTCAGTTTTTCGCTTTTTTCCTAACTCCTCAGTCTTCCGATTCTGTAAGACTTGAGGATATGTTGATGTGTATAGGATAAACGGTATATAATATAATTTTTGAATATACTTAATCTGTTGGTAAAAATTGTTTACATTGCATATACGCTATATGTCTTGCTGTGCTGTTTGCGTCACGAATGTTTATGCAAAGATCACGATATCCCCATTTTCATAATTGCATATGCTAAGTTATTTGTATTGCTCCGGCATTATTTGCTCCATTACAGTGGAATTGTATTCAGAAAGCGAATCTGGAGTTGCAGTCAGAATCAACTGCTGTTTGAGCTGCTTCGCGTCTGCAGTGTCCATTCGGACATCCACATATATTATTGCTAACGGTATTCGTGACCATGTCGTCTTCGAAATGCGAATCCATGATAGCAAGGTTGAACGAGCGACATCGCAGACTGAGTTGTTTGGCGAGTGAGAACAAGACGAATAAAGAGAATCTAGCCGCGTACGTGCAGAACTTCGAGAACACGTTCTACAGCAAGCGCGAAGAGCTGCGAGGGCTGATCGACGAGGTTCTGGCGATCGATGAACGGAACCGCGTCGAAGCGGCTCGTTTGTTAAACGAGCTGCTTGGTGACTTGCAGAAGTACCTGGCCGAGTGGTCGTCGTACTTGCCCTCGTTTGAGGTTCGCAAGGCACAGTCTTCTCTCAACGAATTGAGTCTGAACATTCAGTCAGCGCAGGAGTCGTTTGCTCCGCGACAAAAGTTCACTTTTACTCATCATCCTGCCGACAAGTTGGACTCGGCCTCCTGTTTAGAACAAACGGGAGCAGAAGAAAATACCAGCAAGAACAGCGACAACGAACCTAGCAAAAATGCTCAGCAAGTGGCTGCAAGCAAAGAGATTGCCAGAGTGAACGTTTTGGGTCTGAGTAACCAGCAGAACCGGACGTTGTGTCTGAACGAAGAATGCGAAGGGCGGGATGTGCTTCTGTTCAGTCTCGACTCATGTACGGTGTACATCAAAGCGGTGGCCTCAACGGTGCACATGGCGAAGCTACGCAACTGTCATCTCGTGATCCTGCCCGTGTCCACGTCCGTGCTCATGGAAAACTGTTCAGATTGTGTCGTTTCAGTCGCCTGCCAGCAGCTGCGCATTCACCAGACGCACGACTGCAGTTTCTATATCCACATCACAGGCAAGGCGATCATCGAAGATTCGAACGCGATCCACGTCGCCCCATACAATCTTAAGTGCGACCGTATGTCGGAGCTGTTCCAGAAGGCCCATCTGAACGTAGCAGTAAATCACTGGAATGAAGTCGAAGATTTCAACTGGTTAGTAAAAGACGTGCAGTCGCCAAACTGGGATTGTATTCCCGTCGGTGACCGCATCGCCCATGTGGCTGAGTCCGAGGCCCAAACCGATGCTGATAGCAAGAACAACGACGATGCAATCCATTACCAGCAGACTTAAAAAAATTACGCTTGTCATCACTTAAAAACCTATTCCTTTTGTTGTTACCATGAATAAATAAGCTTTTTTACACATCATGCGATATTTTATGTCCTTATATTTAATGCTCAGCTGGTGTCGGCGGCGGCAGAAGTTTCATGACCTTTCATACTTGGTTTATATCACTATTTGAACGTTCCCTGCTTCCACTTGTTATCAGCTGTTTTATGTCCATTTGTATGGCATGACTGCATCTGAAACAGTGGTACATCCGACGATGCGGACGAATCACCGTTGGCAGAGGCGGTGCACAGAACGCTGTTTCTTTGTGTACTTGACATTGCGTAATAAATTTTCTCAACATGCATGTAGTTCTTATGTATTTTCACGCTATAGCGCCTGTGCGCTCAGATTTTATGTCCAGCTGCTGATACGATATCCAAATTTTGGGACAGCTTATATGTGCATGTTGTACATAACTCCTTTTAATTTCAGACACGACGTAAATCTTTTCTGGCTGAAGCTAGATTTTGAAACATTCTATTCATAAGCTAAACCATTTAAATCTATCGTTGTCTTTATCTTACTAACTGGTTAGCGTTAACCTTTACTATAGTTAAATAGGGTTAAAAACAGTTTATTCTACGACTTCATAGCGTAACTGGCTTGTAGACGTTGATCTAGTACTGGCTTCTCGGTTTGTGTGAGCAATGTTCAGGTTATTTCTTGCTATTTGACGGGGCTGTTGTTCTTTCGGCAGGTTAATGACTCATAGTTTATGCTGCCTGTGTTTTTGACAACATTTAGTAAATTATAGCTAGCATATTTCAGCTATGCTTATAAGACGATATATGTTGCGCCCTACGAATTTCAACATCACTCCATAATAAGGCTGTATTATTGGAAACGCTATACTCCTTCAGTCAGCGGCAGTTCTCTTCTACTCATGAAATAGTCATTCCATTTTTCAGGAGTAATGCTCCGTTGAGATTTCTTTTGTATTCAGCTTAATAAAATCAGTTTTTTAATTTTGGTGGTATTGAGATAGCATACGAAGTGAACAGAGCTGTCTGAAGCTAAAACTAATAGTGGTTTCTATGCATTTAGCTGCTGATTTTATACTCTTGTGCTGTTATGCCGACGTTCCTAAATTACAAACGTTGTTTAACCGGAGTACGGTTGTTTAATCGGGTTGAAATTCACATAAAATAGTCAAACCAGTCATCGACTTGTGTGCACAAACTTCCCTATACCAGATACGCTGATGAACTTTTCGATGCTCGGTGTTTATAAAACAGTCCTTTGAACAAAATCGTGACAACTTCATGTCCTTTCTATTGAGGTCATTAGGGTCGATCTGTCTAAACACGTCTTTCTGAATTTCAGTGTCTACTCTGTCATGCTCATTTAAATTACTCAGTAGAATGAGAGTCTAGTGGGCACTTCCTCAAGAGTACTTCTATTTCCTTCAAGAAAGACTCATATCCTCCCTTGAATTTTAACGCGTAGACCTGCAGCAATTTCAGAACTTTGGCCTGTTGTAGCTTCAGTGCGAGGATTGCCACTTTCTGCTACCAGGGTTACATTAAGGGATTCTGTCAGTTAGGTTGGGTTCTACTGAAGCGAGCACCAGCACCCGTCTGAGCGCGGTCTGTGTTGTCGATACCTGAGTCGAATAACTTCCACTGCAAAGATTCACAATTCTAGAGCCCTGGTTCTGCGTTGACGAAAGTCCGACTATATGCAGTAGAAAATTAGCTCCTGGTGGTTCCCTGTGATTTATGAGGTGCTCTAATTTGCGTCTCTCATCTAGTTTCATTACCGTTTCTGTGGAGCCACATCCATCGTGCAATAATTGCATTACGATATTTGTTTTCTTCGCTCGAAAGGGGAACGGCTGTATATGTAACTGGTAAGTTCGTCACTGTCTTCGGCAGCCGTTGCCGTGCTGCTACGCATCCAGCTACCAGAAAGCATGAAACAGGTTTTGATCGCCGGCTTGTCTCACTCTGCCTCCATTTTGAAACGGCCTGTGCGGCCCTTGGTACCCTACCATGACCAAACCGGTATAACGTTCGATAACGGCATTCCCACGAGGGGCAGATAGATAAGTTTTATTCGATACCTCTCCACATACTCTAGCTCTCCTTCCTCATCCAGGTTGGAACGGGCGACGGCGGGGTGCCCGCTGGTATATATAATCCTTTAACTACTGATGACAAATTTACTCCTCGATAATTATTAAGTTAATTTCCTTATTTTGCAACGGTAAGACGGGTGGTGGTCTTTACACCAAAAGCGAATGGATGGTGCGTTGCTGCGGTACAACTTTGCATAAGGACTACTATCCGTGCTGCACTACAGCTGCATTGTTTTAAATAATGACTTCATTTTATGTCGTAATTGGTGGATTGATTCACTTTAGCTGAGCATATTTTAAAGGTTTCACTAAACTTGGTGATCATGGCGTAATTGTTCACAATTTAGTTCTGTAGGCAAAATTTCTGTTAGTCAGCATTCGATTCTTCTTGCAACCGTTGCAATGGTATCTTTTATCCTAGGACTGCGGATTCTACAAATATATTTGCATAAACAAACATTTTTGAGACTAATAATATTAGTCATTAGCAGTCGTAACCGCGGCGCAAACCACTGATGCTCCTTGCCGTCATCTCATTATTAGCATTCCACTCCCTGTACGAATAGGTATATACACTGAGAGTTTCATGAATTTTT